TAAATGTGCAAGTTCTATACGCGCATGTTTCGGAGGAGTGCGGGATGACTTCACGAGTGTCTCAACTATTGTGCACCTACGCAAAACAAAGCGCATGCCATACTGTAAAGTCAGTTCTGTTACAACAGTCCTGCGATATTAAAATATCTAGATACAGTTATTTGAATAATAAAACAGCTAGATACACAGATAATGGTACATGGCTACATGGGCTCTGTTTAGCGGCATCGTGTATATCTCCTGTACCTTTCTATATAAATCCTTTCCTCTCTCTCTCTTCTTTCCTCATCTACATTCTGGTTACACGTATGCTTACTTCAACGAGGAGAGCATCAAAAAATGCAATTAAAAGAAAAAAATCCTTATTATATCTTAATAAAAAAACATGGATAAAAATCACAAAAATATTTTATAAATATAATTCCAAAAAAATAAGAATAAAATATTCCAGTGTAATTAATAATAAATCTAATAATAAACAAATACATAGACAAAAATATAAAAAACGGTACTTAAATTAATAGTTTAGATATTAAATAGATATTAAAAGACTTTAGTTTTACGAGTGAATGAACGAAAGGATGGAAAGTCAGAGTTAAGGTTAAGATTAAAAACCTCGCACTCGAAAAAAAAAATATACCAATCGAGCATTTGAGTAAATGCTTGCTAATAATTAAAAATAAATGAATGCCTGTCAGCGAATAATTTAAGATCCGATTCAGTCTCTGTGTCCAGTCTCATTTATTCGCCGTTATAATATAATTAACATAAATTTTCGAGCAACATGCAATGAATGTCCAAACACGAATAAAATTTAAATTTAAGATCTTAATCACAGACATCGTACGCAGACATCGCTATTATCATCATCATCATCATTATCATCATAATCTTCATTTACTTGATTTGCATTGATTTGATTCGCAAAGCCATAAAAATGTTATCCTATCTCGGCGCGAAGTAAGCTCTTACATATATGCCGCTTTTACATATGTCATTGTCCAGTATTTTACGATAAAAACAGAATTGATTAACACATGTAAAAAACGCTAACAACTACGCGGAACCAGCGGTTAGGTCAGCTTACCTCACCTTATTTACGATTTTATCGAGCCACCTGCGGCAGAGATTACGCCTTCTGAACAGGTTTTCGTATCGCGTTCGCAGTGACATTCACTACTGTAGATCGCTGAAAGTCTAACCGCGTAGAATGTAGAAAAAGAATCTCATTGCCTTTGTTGGCGCGCCAGAACGAGAAGCCAAAAAGAGAGAGGAGGGAAAGA